AGAACAACCTCCACGACATCAAAAAAAAGATTACAAGATATGTTATCTTCATGCTGTCACTCCCGGCAAAAGCACAACACGTCACAGTTACGATGTAACAGGCCTTGAAGGCAACTTCGATCCCGACCAGCCTAAAAAAAAAAAAAAAAACACCCGAAAATGACCTCCATCACTCACACCCGTCACTGACGGTGGCACCACACTGCAGATCGTCGCAAAGACCTGCAACCACACGCGCATCACGAAACCCCCGCCGCCGACGAGATGGACTGTGCCATCGCCATAAACCCCACCCGGCGAAAACCTCCTAAGTGCGGCGCAATGCGAAAGTACAGGAAACTAAAGTGCGCCAGACAAGCCACCGCATGCACGCCAACGCCCACCGACCCATTAACACTCTCTCGATTAACACTCTCTCTCTCTCTCTCTCTCTCTCTCTCTCTCTCTCTCTCTCTCTCTCTGTATGTCGCCCGCTCCCGACGACTGCTCGTCTTCACTGCGTACCCATTCGCTCCGCCAGTGCATCCCGCAGGATCAGCGCATCCCCCGTCGACGACTCCATACACATCTACCTCAACGGGCGGTGCATCCCAAGGTCCACCCTGCGACGAACACCGTCCGGCCCGACCTCCCACAGCAGATTGTCGTCAAACGGGATGCCCGCGTCGATGAGTATGTTGTGCAGAATGCAGACGGCGACGAATTGCTGCGGCAACGTCTCCATGTTCGTCTTGTGGGAGCGAAGGAACAACCTCCACATCCCCTTCAATCTGCCGAAAGCCCTCTCGATTGCTCCCCTCGCCGTCTTCTACTTGTTGTCAAACCGAATCTCCGACGGGTGCTGTGATACACCGCCGTAGGGGACGACTACCCATTCCGAGGGGGGGTAACCGTTGTCGCCCAGTAGATAGCTGTTCGTTCGCACACCGAAAGGCAGCATGACAGGTGGCCCAGTGAAAAGCTCCCCTGCCTCCGCACGCGCCCACAAACTGGACAGGTGGACGATCCTCACGTCGTGGCAGCTCCCCGGGTATCCGACGAACACATCCAGCACGCGCAAGTTCAGATCGACGACCACCTGAGCCTGGACGAAGAAACGACGTTTTCTGTCGTAGTAGTCCTCTCCGGGGCAATTGGATGGCTTGTCGATGAAGATGTGGGTACAATCGATGCAGCCATGGCAGTTGGGGAAGCCCTTGTCAGCGAAAGCGCACAAGACGACCGCCTTTTGCACCCCCGTTGGCCACGATATCTTGTCGCGGTACGCACTCAGCAACGCCGAAGTAACATTCCGCACAGCCACCAACCCAGACTTTCTGCCAATGCCGAAGCTGCATGTCCCGCTCTCGTACGTCTCCCCCGACGGCCATCTGTACAAAGCGAACGCTACGATGAGGTCAGGCTGGAGGGGCTCCCTATAAAACGTGACACGCCGTTGAAGGAAGGGAGACAGAGTTTCCGCTATCTCCCGGAACACCCGCGGCGACATGCGCAGCTTGTCCTTGAAGTAGTCTTCCGTCGCGTCGTCGCATTGCCGCAGATCCTCCCACACCCCCCCTGTTCGACGCTTCATCCACCACCTCGGCGTCGCTCTAGGAAACGC